CAAGGCTGGTGTTTCACTGTTTCCTTGTTTTGATCTCCCAGAGCTGCAAACTGCAGCGGGGCTGGGCTGTCTCTGCTTCACTAGACTGTGTTTGTTTCTCTCTGCTCGGTGGCACGGATGCCTGGCGCCTGTGTGGGTGGATAGGAAAGTCTTTGGCTTACCTGCCACTGCCATGGCAACCAGGTAACCTAAGGACTCCAGAAGCGAGTCCTTTCAGATTGAGAGGAGAAAAAAATGAAGCAAGCCCGAAATAAACAGACAGAAATCTGTGAATGGAGAAACCACTGGAGTCTTGCCCCTGCAGCTTGCTGTGTCATTGGCAGCGAGGAGAATCCATCCTGCTCTCTTCCCCACCCACCAGCTCAGCCACAACCAAAGGCTGTGGGTCACCTTGTCCTGCCTCCTGCCTCTAACATGACCCCACTGAACCCATCCAAGAGGCCTGTGTTCTTCTGGTCAGCATCCCCAGGGAAGGAGGGCCCCGTGATGCTCTCAGTGACTCCCAAGTAACGCAGAGGATGATCCTGGATCGGAAATCGGGAGATCTGTGTTCTGAGCCCTTATCCACCAAGGGCAGACTCTCTCAGACAGTTCTTTCATCTCAACCTCTCTCTGGGGCTCAGCTGACCCTTACTTACGGCATGGCTTCCTTCCTCACCTATCTGATAGGGGAAGAATAAAACAGAGCTGTATGGAAAAAACTATGAAAGTAAAGTCCTTATGGAAATGCGAATTAGAATTATAATATTTTCACAAGGTCACTCAGATGTGTCCAGCACTTTGCATGCATGGTCTCACTGCATCCTTATAGCCATGCTTTGAGGAGGTACAAGTTGCCTGTGATGGAAAGATGAAGAAACAGAGCTTCAGAGAGGTTAAGAGACTTGCCTGGGCTTGCACAGAGGGTAAGGGGTGAAGAGGCATTCAAATGTAAGGAGTCTGTCTCCAAAAACCATGCTCTTCACGCCTCCCCACACAGTGTCCCACAGAGGCCAGAGGATTAGAGATGATCTGATTTTTCTTGCCTTAGTCACTCCCAGGGTGGTCTCTGGGCCCCAAAGCTCCAAGCAGATCATCGAGGAAGTGTCTGGTGCCCTTCGCATTTAATGAGCCCCTTTGATCTGTGGAGTTTGCTGAGCTCTGCAGACAAGATGGTAATAATCCTCCCAGCCCAAATGCTGGAGCCTCTCTCCTATCCTTGTGCCCATCCAGTCAGTAGATGCACCTTTATTGTGCACCTACAATGTGCCCAGTTCTATGGGGTACGCAGGAGCACCCCAAATCCCGGAGGAAACAACTAGAGAATGATTAAGTGCCACACTGTGAGTGACAATGCGGGGAGAGAAGACAGGTCTGTAGGTGACAGTTGTGGGAGACTTGGTGGAGGGGGCTGAGCTGGGCCAGGGAGGGGGTGGGATCTGGAGAGGAGGGATGGAGAAGAGACCCAGGGCACGGGTGTGGGAGGGACAGCAGAGACCAGCGTGCGGGGGTGGGGGAGAGCGATGTGCAGAGTGGGGTGGTGAGATGCTGAGTCTGATGTCAGAAAGACCTGGCTTTACATCCTGGGCATGCCACCAGCTGGCTGAGTGACCTTGAGTTGGTCATTTAACCTTTCTCTTCGATAAGGGTCTCTGTTGTATTGAGAGATGTTTACCATCTCAGTTTCCATGTTCCACCGTTTTAGCTTTTAAGAGTTTAAGAAAGAACATCTTCATTCAGTCTAAGCTGAATCTGTCTGACTGCTGGCTTATTTCTACTTCTCTTGTTCCTGAAGAAGCACAGGTTGACCAGTCCAAGCTGGTGAAGGGTCCTTGTCAAGGCCCTTTAGAAGCTTTAGACATGGCAACGATTATGGCCTTCCTCCCAAATGTACATAAAAACACACTAAATCATAAAATACGAAACTTATGTGAATGCCAGGGTTAAACAGCTTCTTTGCAGGTTTATTATTTTTTTTTCTAAAATCCTGGATCACTTACTTTATCAAAGTTAAACTTTTCTAACAGTTTTGGTGACCTTGATTTCGAATATTTGTGGTGCCCGAAGCAAGTCCCAAGTTTGCCTTTTGGGCTGTCCAGTCCCAAGGGAAAATGCGGGGGACTAGGAGAAGGGGAAGGGGAAGCAGCACACCCGTGACCTCTTGGCCCTGGAGTCAGGTACTGTGATCAGGCCAGGTCACGCTCCCTTCTCTCCAGATAAGGTTGTTGAGCCTCAGGGGGTTCCAGTGAGCCTGGAGGTCCCACACCAGGGCCACAACGGAGAGCACAGGTCTGGTTATCAGCTGTGCCCCGGCCAGCAGCTCTTGCTGCCCTGTCCATGGCTGCAGCTTGGGAAGCAAGGAGCACAGCCTTCGCTGTTGCTCGGCACCGTTACCAGGGACCGGAGGTAATGTCTCTTACCTGATGGGCAATTTGAAATGGCTGCTTAACAACCCGATTAATCAAACCCAGCTCATCCTGTTAGAATTAATGGGCCTAGGAAATGCTGCCATGAATAATGAGGACTTCTGCCCCCTCCCCAGCACCTCTCCCTCCCACCCCCTCCTATTTCTCACAGCCGCACTGCAGCTACTCAGTACCGAGGGCCCTTAGGCCTGGATGGGTGTGGTGAGTGCCCAGCAATGTGAGCATCTCCTGCCTGTTCTGCTCCTCTCCCAGCCGCCACAGCTGCCCGCCTGGAGCCAGAGGCTGGCCATGTCCTGGAAAAGCAAAACCTCTTGTTCATCAAACAGAAATGGATGCAGCCCACCATCAAAGCTGGATGGAGCGTCTAACCTTTTCAGGCACTGCATTAGGTGCTATGGATGCAATGATGGATAGGACAGTGTCCAAGTGAGGGGTCACAGTGTAGTGACCCAGACACAAGTGGGGGAAGTGCTATAGTAGGGGGTATGAGAAGGGCCTGGAGCCCAGCAGAGGGCCCTGTCAATATTGGAGGAGCAGAGTGGGAACTGGGGAGGATTTTATGGGGATGAGCATGTCTCTGAGCATTTCTGTCACCAGGTTCATTCATTGCACATTATACACAGAGTTCTGGGCACTGAGGTCTCAAGGACAACAAGATGGACATGGTTCCTGTTCTCATGCAGTGGGCAGCCTCATCCCTGTTCCTCAGAGCAGGGCAGGAAACCTGAGCAGACACTTGATTTATTTTTTTCATTTACTCAAACACAAACGTTGTTGAGGGCCTTCTAGGGGTAGGCTAGGCACTGGGGGAAAGAGGTGCAAAGACGAACAACCCCTCATGCTTGCCTTCCAGAGCTTCTCTGGAGGGTGGACAGGCACACCATAGATCCTCATAAGGATGTGCTGAGTGCTCTATCGGGGTACACACAGGGCACTCAGCAAGAGACACTCAGAGATCAAAGCACTGAGCTCAACCTGGAGAAGTCAGGGACGCCTCCCTGTAAGAGGTGGCACTGGAACCTTCGGGAAGACAGAGAAGCAGTTTGACAGGGAGACTAGGGGCAAAAGGTCATTCTAGATCTCATCCTGGCCAAGGGGTGGTCTCTGAGAGATAGGAGTTGAAGTGGAAGGGAAAGATGATTCCGTGAATCTTGGAAGGCAATGGCTGGTTCTACTGTCTACAGCAAAGAGCATGATTAAATATGCAAATAGAGACCTGTAACTTATAGGTCAGGAACGCCTGTGCTTGCTTATTCAAAGTTGGGATTCAAGATGTGGTTTCCTGAATGGCGAAATTCCCAAATTAGCAGGGACACGGCTCAAGGGGCCGTATGCTAAACACATCAATGCGGGCTGGATCCAAAATAAGTGAGTTGGAGGAGAGAGGGCACAGGGAGTAAGGAAGGAGGGGGCCATGGGATAGGTCAGAAGGGAGCAGAGGGTGGGGGAGGTGGGTGGGCCCACCTGCTAAAGTCTCTGGGAAAGTAAACGAAGGAGTTGGGTGGATGGAATTTAACAAGCAGAAATGATGGACTCGGACCTAACAGGGAGAAGGAGAACAGCCAGGGGGAAAGAGAAAAAGGGAGAGGAGAGGGGGAGGCTCATGGAGGCACTTGGGGGCCACCATGCCAGGCCTGGCAGGAAGCAGAGACGCAGGCTTCAGTCATGGTCATCTGACGTATGGTCACAGGGTGCTCTGGGGACTGAGCCCAACTCTGCGGTCCACTCACCAGAGGCTTCAAATCCTGCCACCATTGAGCTGGGCCAGGTCCTTTGCCGCCCTGCTTTGGCCTGCCCCAGGCCCGAGGGATGCACCTAGAGGGACCTGGTCTTCAGTGAGGGCATCTGCCCAACCTCCTAGGGCCCTGGGATCAGGCCTGTGCACCTGCCATGCTTTCGTCACTCAGGGGCCCAGGGCAGGAGGCTTCACAGAGTGCAGCTGGGTCTCTACATACTGACCTGCAGGACAGCAAGTCTGGAGCTCCAAACTCGGCAAAATGACCCTCACGATATATTTTAAAAACCTGCACTCACTGTTAACATTTAACTATTAGGAGATTTTACATAAAAACCTCCACCTAGATTCCCACATCTATAGCTGGCTGGAGCTGATGGTGGCTGTCCCTTTAACTGGGGTCTGGGCTCTCCAATTCACCCAGTCCCCACCAACTGGCTTCTGTCACTTCTGTGGCCTGCCTGGCCCTGAGGGTATCTGAATCTGAGACCCCTGGCAGAGCCTTTAAAGAGAATCCTGTAGAGGCTGAACCCCCCCGCCCCCTTTGGACAGCAGAGGGCTTGCATAGAAATCTACCCACTCATTTTCACTGAGACCCTAGGACTTGGCCAGCACCGAGTGGGAGCTGGCGCTCAGACCTCTTAGTTGAGTTGACTGGAGTTGCCTGGCTCCCATGATAGGGGTGGCTGGAGCCCAAGTCTCCTCTGTGGGGTCTGGTGCCTCCCAACGAAGCCTGTGGCCTGGTTTGAGTGGTGTGGTCTGGCCTACCTGGGTGGCCCAAACCAGTGCTCCTGCGGCCATCCACTCACCCGCCAGACTCCGAGGCTGGGCCTCACCACCCTCTGCCTCTCTCCCTGCAGGGGGAGCTGCTGAGCCCATGCCGCTGTGATGGCTCAGTCAAGTGCACGCACCAGCCTTGCCTCATCAAGTGGATCAGCGAGCGGGGCTGCTGGAGCTGTGAGCTGTGCTACTACAAGTACCACGTCATTGCCATAAGCACAAAGAATCCTCTGCAGGTATAACCGGGGCTGCGCGCTGGGGGTGCTGGGGGCACTAGGGGTGCCGGGGCTGCCTACACTCCCTGCTTTTCTGCAGGAGGATGATTTCACCTTAGAGTCAGGACAGTTTGGAGAAAAGGAACAAGATGGGCTAGGTGGGCAAGACTGTGGATGGCATGTGGGCAGGAGGGGATGAAAGAATTTTTGTGTTTTCTCTGAAGCCTCAGCAAGAATTGGAGAAAGGGATGGGGCAAAGAGAGAGAAAGACGTAGAAGGAAAGAAGTTTGGAGAATCAGATGAAAGAGAATAAGTGAGCTAATGGATGGATGGATGGATGGATGGATGGATGGCTAGATGGATGGATGGATGGATGGCTAGATGGATGGATGGATGGATGGATGGATGGATGGATGGATGGATGGATGGATGAATAGATAGATGGAGGGATGGATGGATGGATGGATGGATGGATGGATGGATGGATGGATGGATAGATGGATGGATGGATGGATAGATAGATGGAGGGATGGATGGTTGGATGGATGGGTGGATGGATGGATAGATGGGTGGATGGATGGATGAATAGTTGGATGGATGGATGAACAATTGAAAGCAAAAAGGAAAGGAAAAGAGAGAAAGGAGGGAGGGTAGGGAGGGAGGGAAAGAAAAGAAAGAAAGACCAGAGGACAGAAGCGAGCAGGTCGGAAAAATAGCAGAGGATGGGAGGGTGAGGAGAAAGACTGAGACAAAGCTAAGGGCGAGAGAAGAAGAAATAAGGAGAGAGGAGACTCAGCGGCACTTCCCAAACTTCATGTGTACGTAATGCGCCTGGAATCTGGTTAAGATGCAGACTACTATTCAGGAGTCTGGGGCAGGGCCTGAGATTCTGCATTTCTAACAAGCTATCGAGTAATGCTGATGCTGCTGGTCCACGGACCACACTTCTTGTGACAAGGGACCAGAGAAAAGTGGAGAAGAGACAGGAGAGGGAGGCAGAGAAAAACAGAAGAAGGGCTAATAAGGAAGAAGGAAAGAGGGAGACAATATGAAGAGGCTACTGTGAGGGGCCAGCGAGGAGGGTGGGGTCTGCCAAACAGAGTCACACAGGGCTGGACCTGCAGGGGCTCCCCTCGTCCACCCTCCACCCCTCCCGGCCTGCCCTGCCACATCCTTCTTCCCCAGAGGAGCTGGCAGGCCCTGCACCACCTCGTAAATCCTCCAAATCAAGCAGCTTCCCCTGCGAGGCGCACACGCATACACAGAGCGCTCTGCTGAAAATACCTCCACATATGCATGGTCAGCCAATTAAGCCGCCACATAATCAATTAGCCAGCATGCTAGTGAGGATGGAACTTCAGGGGTCTGGCACAGTTTTTCCCCTCCTCCTGACGGCGGGTGGGGAGAGTCGATTCTGCAAGTCCAGGAGGAACAGTGTTTTGGTGGTGATGGTGGGGTGGGGTCTTTGCTTGGAGAGGCAGCTGGAAACCCAGAGCTGCAGTGTCCAGGGCGTTTTATTTTAAACACTATGGAGTTTTACATGGGGCACTGCAGGAATGAGTGTGGGTGTGTGAGTTCTAGCACATGCATGTGGACCAGGAGGGGGGCATTATTTCTGGAAGGAGGCATTAAAACTCCCAGGCACCCCAGTATTCTGATGGCATACTAAGGGGTCAGAATAAGAGGTGCCTCCTCCTGCGCTGGTTCCATCTTTAGCCACTCATTTCAAATCTTGAAGTGTCTTAAAATAGCAGTGCCGTGAGATGGCTGATTCCGCGCCCTGGGGTGCATTAACTCTCCCCTTCCTCCACAGCGGATGCAAGCCTTGGAAAAGGGTCAGAGCCCAGACCTGTAAGCCCACCCCAAAGCGTCCCCTTGGCTCATAAACTGGCATCAGCCCTTGACTCATACAATAAAAAACCATGTAGGGATGACTTTTTCCTGGGGGTAAAACAAAAGAAAAAGTTATCCTAATCTCATAAGTATGGTAAGCACATGGCAGCTTGGACGATGTTGATCTACTAGCTTATTCTTAGGCTACTGCCATGTATTGAGCTATGAGTTTCTAGACACTGGGGACTCCCTCTGGTTCTGTGGCTCCTGGAAATGCAATGGGGTGGGCTCAGGAAACGCCATTCCACTTTTCCAGATAGCACTGGAAGAGGGAAGTAGTTTGGTCTAGCAGCAGTGTTGTGTGGTTGTAGCCCAAATGGGCCCAGTTGTGTGTCTTGGGCTCCTGGGGCCCAGCCAAGCGTGAGCCGGCTGCCTGCTCAGCCGCAGTGGGACAACCTCTGCTCCCACAGCCCCGCCGGACCACACGTGGTCTAGGATGGAGCAGGCAGGCTGCACCACAGGGAGCGGAGCAATGGATGGGGTGCCCCACCACCTCTGCTCACAGTGGAGGTTTCTCCCACTCTCAGGTCTCTCTCCCCTTGGTCATGCCCCATACAAAGCTGTGAGAAGCAGTGGTCACGACAGCACATTATCTCAGTGATAATCTGCAAGATTCTGTTTCTAGCAGAAGAGCCACTGAGTAGGCGGCCTTGTGGTCTCAAGGCTCTGTGGCTTCTGCTTACCCTCTCTGCTCCCCCTGAACTGCAACTATATTAATGACCATTCAGTTAGGGCCCACCGGGGGCCAGTCACTGTTCTAAGGATTCACATGTATTATCTCATTTAACACCAAAAACAACCCAATGCAGTGGGTACTATTATTATTCCCAATTTATAGATGAGACAGTGGAGGGACCAAGGGGGGGGGTCAGCAATTCGCCCCAGGTGACCCTTGTGGAGCAGGGTTGAGTACAGGGGTCTGACGCCTGAGTCTGGCCCTTAGCCTCCACCCTATAGTACACAGGTCCAGAGTGCGCCGAGTCCGTTAGGAAGACCCCACCTCGGCATGCATAGCTGCATTTTTGCTGAAACATAATGAAGAACAGAAATGACAGCGGCTCACACCCTTCAAAGCACTCATTAAAGAGTTATTTCATTTAACTCTCGCAATACTCTAGGAAGAGGGAAGAACCAATTACTTCCATTTTTACGCAGGGGAAAATTGAGAGTCCTTATGATTTACTGACTTCTCCCAGGTCACATTCCGCAAGCTGGAGCAGACCCCAGCTAGAACTGGGTCACCCGAGCCCTTGCCCAGTGCCCTTTTCTGTTATAAGGAAGGAAACACCAGGCTCCGTGCCCTTCTGCCTTGGTCTCTCCATTCACCCGTGCTGCAGAGCAGGAGGGCGGGGCGTGGAGAAGGCTCATGGTGCTGCAACCAGAATCCCGCTTGGAACGAGGCTCCCAGTGTCTGGTGGTGGCAGAGCCCGTGCCTCTGGAGCCCCTCTCCCCTCCCAGCCTCCCTTTGAGATGTCCGAGCTCCCTTGTTCCCTGCTCCCTGCACCTCTTGTGGAGGCTCACGGGAGACAGACAGGAGGAGAGAGCCCTGTCCGTAGCACCCCCACACTGTTCCTTCTGCAACATGCATCAGAAAAACCTGAACCTTGCTTAGGTTCCACAGGTGCCTTGGGGGCTGGTAGGAAGGATCTTTAGGGATTACAGGGACCTTTCTGTGCCTCTGTATTTGGGGTTTTTGAAGTCTGGAGCAGGAGAAGGTGAGGATTGTCTGTGACTCAACGGTAGAAACAAACAACTCCATCAGCCTCCCTCTTCAGGCAGCGAGGCAGGCTCTGGAAAAAGCATTGGTTGTATATGAGAGGAGTCTGTAGGATCAGGCTATCTTCTGGAAAATTCCCTTGTTATGTGTAACTGTAGGCTGGGGGAAGCAGTGGAAAATTTAAAGGCCTAATTACCTGTAATGGGATGCTGTCTGTATAATTAAGTGTAAAGGCCAACGTCCTATACCCAGACCAGCAGGAGAAATGTTTTCCAATGGTTACAGTTCCTTAGGGACCACTGGTCAGTCTTGGCTGGAGCCAGACTCTGTGCTTCCATCCAGGCCATTTAACACATAGTGAGGACTCACTGTTGGCAGATGGAAGGTTGTCTGCATTTCCTCGGAGTTCGGGCTGAAATGTCTTCTGGAGGTGTTCTCTGCAGGGCGTTATGCAAATCCCTACAATCAGGAAATTGTACTCCCCTCCACCTTCCCACATCTGATCCTGTCACTTCTCTGCTTAAAATTGTTCAATAGCATCACGTGTGCTCTTAGGACAAAGTCAAAAATCTGTGCACATTCTTCAGGATTCCACATGGTCTTCCCTTCTTATTTTTCCAGCTGTCTCACCCCATATTCCCTTTTGCGCTCTCTGCTTCACCCACTCTGGTCTTCTTCCAGGTTTTCATACTCACTATGCTTTCTTCTGCCACAGGGCCTTTGCACATGGTCTTCCCTCTGCCCGGAGCACTCTTTTCTCCTCTCTTTGCCTAGTAAACTCCTACTCAACTCAAGCCTCGCTTCTTCTGGGAAGTCAAATCCTCCTATCAAAGGCTTCCACAGTGCCATGTACCTCCTGATGAATTGCAGTTGTAAATAATTATTTAGTTGTCTGTGTTCTCTAGATTGTAAGCTCTGTGAGGACAGAAATCATGTATGTTTTTGCTTACTGCTTTATCTCCAGCACCCAGCAGAGTGGCTGGCACACAGACAGTACTCAGTACATATTTGTTGAGTGACAGCATGAATAAATACCAACTAAAATCCAACTCCAGACTCTTTTAAGCCTGTGCTACCTAAACCAGCCATAGAATAGTAGAATTTCAGAGCTGAAACCCGCCCACACCCCAGCCTTCAACCCATCCATCAATACTGTTATTAGTAAAGTGCTTTTTCTGTTACAAAAAAAACCCCCAGAAATCTCAGCATTCATATACAGTCAGGAAATTATGCTTTTTCTTATCTCTCCCCCACATCCTGTGTCCTCTCGTCTGTTGAGTTGGTGATCTCCAGCATGTATATTAAATGACATGCCAGGTGTTGTAGAAAACAAGCAAAGGAAAAGCCTTTAGTGTGAAAATAAACAGCGTTGCTCTGAAAAGAATATTCTGGGACCTGGAATAGCACCCATGCTAGTTCTGTATTTTCACTTTCTCCTTCCCATTTCTCTGTCTGTAGTCCTTCTTTCCAAGCCACGTGTGCCCAGAACTCCCTCCGTACAATGACTTCTAATCATTTGGTGTGATATAGGTTTCCTCCACATCAAAAGTACAGTGTAAAACTCAGAAATTTGAAAAAATATCCATTGTATTACAAGTTGGAAAGCCCTGGTTTAAGACCCAAACCAGAGGTGAGAGGTTGAGGCAACTGAAGGAAGAAGGATGGGAATGGGATGGAAATGGGGTGAGGGCACCCAAGCAACTGCTAACCTGCCCTTCTCTCCTCCCCAGTGGCAGGCCATCTCTCTGACAGTCATTGAGAAGGTTCAGATTGCAGCCGCCATCTTGGGTTCCCTCTTCCTCATTGCCAGCATCTCTTGGCTCATCTGGTCGACCTTCAGTCCCTCGGCAAAATGGCAGCGCCAAGACCTCCTCTTCCAGATCTGCTACGGGATGTATGGATTCATGGACGTGGTGTGCATAGGTGGGTCTGGGCGCTTGTGTCTATGGGAAGCGGGGAGCCACATGCTGGTGAGTTAGACAAATCCCGCAGAATTCCTCCTTCTGGAAAGTCAAAGCTGAGATGGTGCCAGGCTTGAGACCTGTGAGCTCAGGAGGGGCCAGTGGCTTAGGCTTGAGGGCAGACGTGTGGAGGCAGGGCAAAGAAGGAAGATCCAAATCTTTCCCAAGCAAATCTGTCTTGCCCAGTCAAAGATAAGGATGAGGAGGCTTGCCTCTAAGACGTTTTGAGAAACGTCAGTTGGTCAATAGATTTGCTTCAAGCAAGACATCGAAGGCCCCTTCTTTGTTGTATACCCCATGACTGCCAAGGCATGATGAGGGATGCCTATACATTTAATTCCATTCTCTTCAAAGCAAAATGCCCAGAAACAGCCATGATGATACCTGCCCCCCTTTTTTCAGCTTTCCTTAAGCCTGTTCCAATGCCCACGATTTCTCTAGTCTAGTGGTTTTCAAACAGTATGTAGCCCTAGGGTTCCACACACAGCTTCAGGAGCCACCTTGGGGGGTGGGAAATGGCATGCTCCACAGACAGACTCTGAATCTTCACTCCTGCTTCACCTAGAGCTTCTGAACTTTCATCTATTTACATATGTTTCCGTTCCAGGTAAGGTTTTGTTTTAATGTCTTTGGTGTTTCAGAAAAAGTTGGAAACCCACCACTCTGGTTCCTCCTTGTTCCCTTACACCATTCCCAAATCTATGTTCCCTCCTTTTCCATTATGTTAGGGTGGTTGGTGGAGAGCCGGATCTTTTTGTTTTTCTCAATGGATGATTATGGTGTCAACTCTGAGGTCCTTATCCATGTAGCCAAGGAGATGGGGAATGGTCCTGGTTTTCTCTGAGCGAAATGAAGTGTGCTTAAGCACTGGTCATACATCCTAACCTGGAACTCTCAGGTTATTCCCTGGGCCACAGTACTGAGGGCCTTAGAGTCCCAGAGTGGTCTTCTTGGGGCATTATATCTGTGTAGAACATCAGCTATGCTACACTGCTCTGTTTGGCAGGAAAACATCTACTAGCTAGAATTTGGCTGGGAGGATGTTACTGTGAATTTCTTTGGGGTCCTTTAATATTAGAATCAGAGAGGCCTCGAGACTTCCATACTGATTACAGTAGCCAGAGACCAGTGATGCTGGAACTTGTAAACTTGTCTAAGCATCTTTCTGCCTCTCCCTGCTAGCTACACCAATACATCAACCCCAAGTCCAAGAGCCTTTTAATTATGGCACCTAGGCAGTGAAAGAAATAGACTGCCCAGATTTGGAGGACGGTGGGAGAGAAAGGACTGCAAATGGGGAGGAATTTGACTTTGAGGCATTCTAATTTAATTCTGCCTCCCACCAAACTCCCTTCCTCCTCCTGCTGAGGCATGGGTTATTGATGCCAAAAGCCAGGTGTGTTTCCATATGGAGGTATACGGATCTGCATGGAGGGGTAAGCAGCGTAGGGCCTTCCTGGAGGGGCCCCTCCAGCTGTCCTTCATTCTCCTTCAAGCAGGCTTTCGATCGGTCCCTAATGTGCGTTGCTATGAGACATGCTTTCCCGTCACGTGGTGTATTAGTCAGCTTTGGCTGCAGTAACAAACAACTCCAAAATTGCAGTGCCTCACAGCAACAAGCATTTATTTCCCATTCATGGGTCTGCGAGATGGCTGTGGCTCTGCTGGGCTTGGCTGGGCTTACCTTCTGACTATGCGTTGGGTTCAGGCCTGCTCTAAGTGTCGCCTCATGCTGGGAGGCAGGCTAAAGGAGCAGGGACTACTGGGCATTTTCTTCCAGCCGAGTGCAGGAGCACAAGAGAGCTGGTGGAAACTTGCAATGCTTCTCAAAGCTTCTGCTCAGTATTGGCATGCTGTCCCTCCTGCTCACAGCCCATTTTGAGCCAATGCAAGTCACCAACAAGCCCAACATCAATGGGGTGGTGGGGCAGGGAAGTAGACTTCTCCTCCTCTGGGGGTGTGTGTGTGTGAGAGAGAGAAGCATAAATACCTCCTACCACTCATGTATCCATGGATTTGAAGATAGAGAATCGGACATTGAAGAGACTTTGCAATTGACCAGTACAGTTTTGCAGTTGAGAGAACTGGGGCTCAGAGGAAGGAAGGGATCTGCCCATGGTTGCTTAGCTGGGATTAGAAGCAAGGTCTCCCAGCTGGCAGTCCAGTGCTCTTTCCATTAGCCCTCTTGCGTCAGATAGCAGGAGTCCCGTGGCATCACTCATGGGATACGTGCAAATGCCACCTGCGACTTCGAGTGCACTGGGCCCACCTACAGGAGAAACCCTCATACACAGGCCTGCTTCCTGAGCCTCTGAGCCACCCAGCACCCCCACTCTGGCCTGCCTGGTGCTCTGGTCTCTCCTGCTCAGTGTGCCTTCCCCTGAATATGGCTCTGTGGCACCATCTCCTCTTCTGTATCTTTCTTGGCTCCTCTCTTTCTGCTTGCTTTCCCCTGGCCCCCTTCTATCTTTCTAGTTCTTTCTCTTCTCATATACATGTGGCACTCGGTCCTTCAATTTCTGAAAGAAGCAGAGTGGGCTAATTATTGAGGTTTCCACACTGTTTTTGGAAAACATGATTTCCCAGATGCACAGCCACACCATCATCTCCATGATCTATCCATCTGCTCTGACAAGCCAATGACAGCTTGGAAACACCATTGATGGGAGGGGAATGCATAGGGACCCTAACTGCTTCTAGCACCGTCCTGAAGTGGTCAGATATATTTATATTTAGACTATCTCACCTTTGAAGAGTGATAGAGATAGAACAGATAGACTGTTCTATCATTTTATTGATTATAACTGGAGCTAATTCAGCTTCAGAGCATGTTCCCAGGGGCAATGATTATTTTTCCCATTTTTCAAATGGTGAGACTCTGAGACAAGGATTTGTCTTAGGCTGGCTCAGGCAGCAGAGTAGGACTCTCAGTTCAGCGTTTTTCTAGGAGATGTTGTTCATGGGAGAAAATGCGGGGAGACAACATCAAAAAGAGAGTAATATATGATCTAGAGAAGAGAGTGGGAGGAGGTGACAGGCAGTAGTTGGAATGCACATGTTTTTGTGGTGGTTGCGATGATGGTGATGATGATCAGTAGTGATGACAGTCGTTTTAAGGGTAAAGTTCAAGTATCAATTACTTCTCCTCCTCGGCAGCATTCTGGCCAGTTGAGGGAAAACACACAGCACTGCACAAGTGATTGTAAAGTATCAGCTTTTTAGGGGCTCTCTGGAAGGAAGAATCAGGTGGAGCCTGCAATGTCTACCAGAGGCATCTTTATTTTTAGGCTCAACTAGGCATTGAGACCCACAGAACTACCCAAGAGTGCGCTTAGAGGAATGTAGGATAGGAACCACAGCCTCCACAAGGCAGGTCTGTCTTACCTTTACAGGTGAGTCCTCACTGCACTCCATATCCTAGTCCTGGGCTAGTCTCTCAGTCCCCAAAATGTTAGCTCAGGAAGAAGTATATGATTCACAACAGTGGGTACAGGGTCCACTTTGGCATAGTTTCCAGGGTCCCCACAAAAGTCATGCTCAGTTACAAGAGTCACTGTACTCAGGGAAGCCCAAAGCCACAGCCTTGCACTAGGCATTTACAGTAAAGCACTCACCAGTCAGGGGTTACCTTCAACCCACACAATGATGCAACACAGCTGACACTCCACCTTCATCAGATTTCCAGGGGAAATGAGCCAGAATGCCAACTCAGGGTCAAGTTTGTTCTGAGAGGAGAAAGCATATTGTCACCCCTCTTCCTATCACCTCCTGCCTCTATTCGTAAATCTAGACATCTGGCCACACAAACCTCATTCACTGAACCAATGGGAGGCAGAGAAGCTCCAACAGGGAACAGCCCGGCTGGGGCCAGCCCGAAGGAGGCATAACATGGTCTTCTTACTGCACAAAGATGGAAAACACAGCCAAGAGAGCCACAGGGTGGCACCTATCTTACTTTTGAGCTGGTCACCGGTTTTAAAACTCAATCAATTAGCTTATTCCCATGGGAAAGGGGAAGCTTCCCTTCCAGAAGTCTCGAGATAGTGGAAGATGTTATGAAAGAGTGGGCAGAGGAAGAGAAGGTTCCTCACCAGAAAGTGGGTGGAAGTGGTGAAGGGAGAGGTGAGCGTTCTCAAGAAATGTTGGTTGGAAAAAAATGTTGAATGAAAGAATCCATATCCGTAGACTCAAGCTCCTTGGATGGATGGAGCAATTCGTACCTGGATAAAAAGTTTATCATCAGGAGAAGGGAAAATGCATCTAGCCTTGTGTTAGCTCAAAATAGTGAGTAAGAAATAAATAAGACCATCTGCTAAAAGGAGTCTTTCTCTATTTTTCAGACACCAAGAAAAATTTTCTATTCCCTAAGACTGTTAAATGGCCTCACATAGTAAAGAATCTGAATAAACATAAGTTAGTTAATCCTTAAACATAGATTTACCTTTCCTATCAGAGTGGTGCATTGAGGGAAATTTCATGAGAGTGAGAGGGACACAAGAGGAGAAATTCCACTGGATGTCAAAACCAGCTCAGCAGATATTCTCTGCCATGAAGCCAAGAGGATGCAGAGTCTGGGACATGGCCAGCTCGCTGCTCATGAAGCCACAATCAGCTCCATCCACGGCTGTGTCCACCTGGCTGGCCTGCAGGTCAGTCAATGGTCAATGAGAAGACGCCAGAGCAATGTCTGTCAGGGAATGGCCTTTGGTTCACCACAGGATTTTGCCTGAAATGGTTGCCAGGAAGGTCTGGCTCTCTGTTTGATGAAGCATGGGTCCAAGGTTGTGGACAATGGCTGTGGACTGGGTCATATCAGAGAGTTGTACATTCTGGGATACAAGCCGCCCCTACAGATTAAGCATCTCTTGGCTTAGGGCTCCTAAGTTCCTAGACCAATCCATGCCACTATGAAAGCCAAATGTACGTTGCTGTGGACAGAACAAACCACCAAAGCCCTGCAAG